GGAATACGTAATTGACATAAATATTTACCACCGTCGCGAAATATCCCTGCCGTGTCCACGGTTGCTGATTTTTCCGTCGATAAATATTTTATGAGGCCGCTAATCAAACGAGGGACGGAATCAGCCGTACCCGCTACCACCGCCCGTGCTTTGCTTAAAAGGGGGAAAAAAAAGTGCCAGGAGATATCGAAGCTTCGACGAAAGCCTTCGGAATCGTTTAAGGATACACTCTCCCCCTTCCGTTACCCCAGGAGCGTTCGTAAAAATTTCAAGCAACCCTCCCCGACGGCCTAACATATTCGACTCATGAATTCTTAACGAGCTGCTGCCACGGAGAGCAGAGAAAGCACCGCGACTTGTCTTCCCCTACCACACTTTACTGCTACCCAGCTTCCCTTATAAACGAATTCCCGGAACGAGCTTGAGGAAAGGGAGAGGGAGCAAAAAGAGAGACAAAAAAGAAGAGAGAGAGAGAGAGAGGGGGGGAGAAAGGAAGACGAGGGGACAAGAGTCTCCGTGTAGACACGACATTAACCTTCGTTACGCGTGTTTGAATTTCGCTACGAGCAAGAGGCAACGAGGAAGAGGAGAGTTTCTAAAAGGGGAGAGAACGATACCGGCTGATCACCGTCTCTCCCGTTTCGAGCAGGAAAGGAGAGAGCGGCGTAAAACTAATTGCGGCCGACAGTGCTCCTTCTCTGCGTTTCCAAGCCCCTCTCGCGCCATCGTCTTCATCCCTCCTGTCCCGCCTCTCAACCGACCGCCCTTAATAGCGTGCGGTTATTACAGAGGAACGACAGGCGGCGCGATTATACGCACCCCTTTCGCCGGTTCTATCTCCCTATCAAACCACCTTCCTTCCTAATTTTCACCTATTTGCCTCGCCTCCGCGTACTCTCCCCTCGTCTTACCCCGCAGCTTCCTAAAGAGGGACTTTGTTGTTTAACCCCTGCGTGCGCTCCATTCGCGAATTTGTCACCGTTCGGTTAATTTCGGTCAAGCTGAGCAATATTTTTATAGTTTTCGTGAAATTTTCAGCCAAGTAATTCTGACGTTAGGGATTCCCTTCACGGGAATGTGCGTTGCTAGCACTTGCCGCTAACCTCGTTTGCATTCTTTTATTTGAAGGCACAGAGAATCTAATTTTCGCTTTTTTCAAGTCAAATTAGTACAACAGAGATTGGAAGCTTTTAAACTTAGCCAAAGTCGAGCTTTCTCGGAGCAGTAGAAGAGTAAGTGTTCAATTGAAATTACACGTGAGTTAAATATCGAAGACTCAATTAGCATATGTTCAGAAATAACTTACTCTTCGAGTGAAATTCAACCTTCCTTAAGTTTGAGCTTTCAATTAAGTCCAGAAATGATCGCCGTTCGAATACTCCAGCCAATCTACCATCGGTTCTATGCTGCACCTCGAGGAACGCGTACGGTTGCGTAGGTGAACACCGGCGAACTCATAAATGATCGTGGTTAAAAAAAATGACAAAGTCGTTTAGACGGGTTGGCAGAGTTTCGCAGATTGCATTAAAATACATCGGGCACTCTAAGATATTGCGGCGTTAAATTTGACAGAAGCTAGCTGCACGCCTGTTCGCATGAATCACCGTGGCGCAATCATTTTAGCGATGAAGCGAGCGCGCTGCGTGCTCCTTTTGTCCCGCACGATGCTCCACCGACGTGTTTTCCCCGTCGTCGTGAAAATAATATTCCGCGGAATCTTTCACGGGAAATTCCTGCACGCCGCATTGAGGACACAGTGAGCCATTGTGAGGTCGTAACACCTGCATCCAAATTGATACGAACTTTCTAATAATCTCCCGTGAAGTTTCAACGATAATATTCCTCTTTATTCTCGCTGTCTGATACAACAATATTTTCACTGAATCCTTAAACTGCGATAAGTAGAGGGAGAGAGAGAGAGAGAGGGGGGGGGGGGGCATCAGAGTTGGGAATAAGTAAGAGGGACTGCTGTTAGAATCGAATAACACCGAAGGCAAGTTTCTTCAACTTCTAAATTAAAATACGTCGTCTTACTGATCCTTCTCTCGCCAATGAGAAGAGTATTTCACCCTCCGCCGGGTCGGCGTATAGAGGACATCTAGTTAAAATTTGTTCGAATTCGTTAAGCAAGGCTTAAACTTCGGTGATGCTGGTTAGTTAGTAATTGCACAGTTCCAAAGACGCATCGTCGAGTATAAGTTTCTCCTATCTCTTTCCCACCGGTTTCGCCTTCTTTTTCCGCCATTCACGCCGGAATTCGCCGGGGAGGATCCACTTTCGGGGGGGAACGTTCGCCAAATTACCTCCACGATTATCCGCGAAATTAACTTCAACATTCTGACACGCGTTCCGTGGCTAATTATTTTTCGTCCAAACTTACGGTATTCGAAGTCGACCGCGGATAAACAAACTTCCGCGTTTCATCCGGGTCTCGACGGGATCCGCAGAATGCATTCTTCATCGTTGAATTGCTACCAAACTCCTGTTTAATTATCGCTCGAACCACTGAAT